GATAGATAGATAGATAGATAGATAGATAGATAGATAGATGATAGATAGATAGAAAGAAAGAAATATGCATGCACATCTGAGGGAGATCAATGGTTAAGAAATATGAAATATAAATAAATATGCACATGATAAAATGTTTTTTTTTTACATTTCAGAACTTTTGCAAGCTTAATGAACATACTGAGATTTGATGCCAGTCTGATTCGTCTGTCTATCAAATTGCTCACTTGCAGAAGGAATCGTGCCAAAGAATTTCTTCAGATGTTTAAACATGGGATTTTGTTGGTGATAATTGCCAAGCATATTTAACAAATTCAACAGCAGCAGTGTTTTCTGCCTATATTTCCTGAAGGGTATATTTTTATAAACTTAAATTCTTCTTCAATGATCACATATTTTTCTATGCATGAAGAGCTAAAAAATAGAAAGCAATTTAAGATACTACTGTGGTGTATGCTGTTTTAGCTGTCTTGTTACAATTTAAAAATATAAGTTTGTGCAGAAGAGAATGCAACATCATTGAATTTTGTAGTGCAATGTATGTAATCCAAAATCTGTCCTTTTTATGTGCAATTGTAAACTTCAATAAAAGGCCATTTTTTCCTGTTAAATGCCTAGAATTAACAATCATATCTTGCCACTTCCACATTCTGCTAAATACACTGAAGTTATTATTTTGATTTTTGTCTCTTTACTGCAATGTTTTAAAGCGGGATATAAAAGAATTTTATTATATATTCATTTGAGAATAATTTTTACGTTTCTATATAATAGAATCCTGGCAAGGAAAACCATTGCAATAAACAAAGTCTAACTAGCATTTGTTCTTCTATCAAAAATACATGAAAGGTTATAAAGATTGCTCTTATTTTTACACGCACAAAGTTGTGAAGGGATTGTTGCAACCTTTAAAGGCCAAATGTAGCTATAGCGAAGCATCTAGCACTTCATCTAAAACTTCCTCATCAAAAACTGCTGAGCCAGTAAATGTCCTTACCGAAGCAAGCAATAAAAACAGTACACTTTTAGTGTACACAGAGCAGTGGTGGATTCCGGATCCCGTTCCAACCGGTATGGTTGGAAAGGGCCCGGTGGCGTCCACATGGATGCGCACAGTGCGTGCATGCATCTTAGCACCTCCGTGACGCTACAGCTGCTCAGCGGAGCATCGTGCAGGTGTTGTACCCGCCATGTGCATGCACGGAAGTGCCAAAGACTTAAAAGACCGCTAAGGAGCTCAGACAGGCAGGTGGGCCCTCCGGAGCACCGTACCAGAATGGTATCCGGTGCTCCGGGCAGGCTCTGGTAAGCCTGTACCGGGGCGTACCGTCTGCAACCCACCATTGGTACAGAGCCATGCCTTATTTATCTTTATTTTACTTTACTTTCTTCTCCATAATTATGTATTTCTCCTTTCCCCAAAATTATGTACTGCTCCTTTTTAATTTTGGGCTGTTGTGAATGTAAATTAAATTAGCACCATTACGTTCATCGGAATGTACAAATAAAAAGTGGGAGGATCTAAATGAGACTTATTTTAAAACTATATTGTAAAGGAAAGCATCTGTATTTTCATATCAATATATTTGCATGAGAAGAGCTAAAGTGATCTGCTACACAGGGAGAATTTTTATAACCGTAAGACCTTCCCTTCAATAGAAAAACTGTGAAAAAGTAATCAAAAGGTTGTGGTTTAGCTTTAAGTTTGAATGAAACCATGGTTTGTTTGAAACAGGAGATGTGCTTTTGATCTACCCTGATGATCAGATGTGGTGAATATGCAGACAATATAAAACTAAATACATGTATATATCAACATTTTCTGTGTGTAGTCAGGACAAAAGTACTTTGTTCTCCATCCTTGGGAAAACCTGAAAAATGCCTCATTTAGTAGTGTCTTCATTTAATTAAATGTTATTGTCTGGTCCCCCATTGGGTTGCATTACTTTTCATCAGCAAGGAGTGGGGGGGGGGCAGTGATTCCCAAGAGCCTGCAGGTGTCCACCAATTAAATCTTTTACATTGTTGTTTTTTAAGACTGAAGCTACCGAAGATGAAGTTCAGTTAAACCCAGTACAGAAGAAAGGGTTCAGCTGCAATGAATCCAAGATTTCTGTTTGCTGTTTTGAAAACAGTTGTGTACTTGTAAAAGTAGTGGTATAATATTGATTAAAATACTATCTGGAAAATATGTATCTATATCGGGTGTGGAGGGCTAGCTCATTCAATTTCCTCCCTGTCTCAGAATTCTGGACTTTGCGTTATCCCCAAGTCGTAGTTTTCTTGCTCTTCTGCATAAAATACATTCATCAAGAATCATAAGTTACAACACTTAGTGATAGTCATAGGTTACTAATAAGCAATCAAATCATATTAGAAAACAAACTATATCAGTTGTAAAGATACAAGCAACATGGTTATAGTCATAAGTGGGAAGAGATAGGCACTAGGAAGGAAGAGAATAGTAATAGTAATACAGTCTTAATAAATTTGACAGTATTGTGGGAATTAGTTGTTTAGCAGAGTGATGGCATTTGGGGAAAAACTGTCCTTGTGTCTAGTTGTGCAGTGTTGTGTCTGGTGTGCAGTGCCCTATAGCGTCGTTTTGAGGGAAGGAGTTGAAACAATTTATATCCAGGATGTGAGGGGTCTGTAGATATTTTCACAGCCCTCTTTTTGACTTGTGCAGTATACAGGTCCTCAATGGANTTCCATTGGCAAAACAGTAACCTTAGAGAAGTTCCTTCTTAGATCTCACAAAAATAAAGGAAGGGAGGGGGAAGCAGATTCAGACTTCCAAGATTCTGTTAATACAACTTTACAATAAAAAAAAATCCCTGACCTATATAATATCTACTCTATCTTGCAGAGCTGATAGCAATCTTTCAAGTCTGAATGTGCACATTCTTCACTTTAACTTCATGTGGACCAGAGAGCAGCTTATCTGAGATGTTTTCTCATTATTTCCTTGGCTCAGACTCAAGCCCTGCTTATCTGATCATTGCTTTGGCAGTGTTTGTTCCTTTGCTCATTGCATTATTTTCTATTTATTGGCTTAGCTAATTACTCAGGGGGATTTCCTTCTAAGAAGACAATACATCTTGCCTGCCTGCCTGCCTGCCTCCCTGCTTGCCTGCCTGCCTGCTTGCCTGCTTGGCAACCAATGGATTGGAGTGCAACCTCCCCGTATCTCCCATGGTTAGGCAAAGCTAAGAAGTACCAGTGATGAATTATATACTGGCCTCCTACATACATGTTTAGTTTTAATGGGTGGTAGGTTGGTTGGTTCCCAGCACAGTGGTCATGTGGCCGACAGGACTAAATGCCGAAGGCACACAGAGTGCTGTTACCTTCCCACCAAAGGTTGCATTTTTACATGCTTTCGAATGGCTAGGTTGGCAGAAGCTGGGACAAGTAACAGGAGCTCACTCCGTTTGGTGGCACTAGTGATTCGAACCACCGAACTGCTGACCTTTCTGATCGACAAGCTCAGCATCTTAGCCACTGAAACACTGCATCCCTTGGGTGGTAGACAGCTTGACAGAAATAATGTTTTCTCTTTTTCTCCAGCAGAATGGAGCCCCTTTGTCCAAATATTTCCTGCTAAGAATGCAACTTCCATCCTGTGCCTTCTAAAGAGAAACAAATCCTGTTCCCATTCTCTTAAGATTTTTTTAACACATTCATGTTCATTTGCAACACATAAATGCAGTTGCCTCATATTTATCTAATTTAGCAACTAGGATTTGTTCAATGACATCCTTGGTAGTTTACTCACATAACCTTTCTTGCCTGCAGATATTGTGCTTCCCTTCCAGTAGCTTCTGGTAGCCTCTTACTTAAGAGATTAAGAAGCTTCTGCAATGGCACCAGAAACCTCCAGAGGGAACAAACAGTTGGCTAAGAACTTAGGCTATTGCACTCAGTTGCTTAATTGCCCAGTTAGACAAGAAAAAGCTAGATAAAGGATGCAATGGATGCCTATTTTATCTCTTGCAGAGACTGTTGAGCACCAACTACAATCTGTTTGAGGTTTGCTTCCCACCCTGCTTTATACAGCTCTATTTGTTCCATCAGACTTTCAATGGGAGAATATAGAAGCTGTAGCCTTTCGGTATTGATGGATTCTAAGCCCCATCAGCCCTAATCCTTAGCCAGGTAATTTGGGATTTAATAGGAATCAAACTCCAATAACATCTAGAGTTTAGATTCCCCATCCCGATTCTTCTGGCAGTTGAGTCTTCACCAATGGAAATCTTCAGTTGATGATTTTTACACATCCAGCCACTGTTAAAAGGTAAAAAGTCTGATCCCAAAGGTGCTTTTTCAAAAGGCAACTTTGTTTTTCCTTGAAGACATTTCACTTCTCAGCCAAGAAGCTTCTTCAGTTCTGACTGAATGCGGGAAGATGGAAGGATTTATAATCCTTGCAGTAATCTGGTTGTTAGCCCTTGTTCTGAGAGTCACTGAGGCCAATTGGAGGTTTATCTGTGCCCTCAGAGGTCACCTGAATCGTGCAGATGGGTGTGGAACTCCTGAAACCACTGTGCTTAAACAGGAGATAGGTGGTGTCGTATCCCTCTCTCTTCATTGAGAGAGGGCTGTTCAAACTTAATGGCCTCTTTGATCTTTCAAAGTCCACATTCTTGATAGAGAAGACTGCTGATTTGAATACAATAGAATCCTTTATTGGCCAAGTGTGGTTGGACACACAAGGAATTTGTCTTTGGTGCATATCCTCTCAGTGTAAATAAAGAAAAATAAAGAAAAATAAAATACATTCATAAAGAATCATAAGATACAACATTTAGTGATAGTTATTGGTTACTAATAAGCAATCAAATCATACTAGAAACAAATAAAACAATATAAATCATAAAGATACAAGCAACGTTGTTATAGTCATAATTGGGAAGAGTTAGGTACTAGGAAGGATGAGAATAATAATAGTAATACAGTCTTAGAAAATAATTTGACAGTGTTGTGGGAATTAGTTGTTTAGCAGAGTGATGGGAAAAAACTGTCCTTGTATCTAGTTGTTATGTTGCGCAGTGCCCTATATTTTGAGGGTAGATGTTGAAACAATTTATGTCCAGGATGTGAGGAGTCTGTAGATATTTTCACAGCTCACTTTTTGACTTGTGCAGTATATAGGTCCTCAATGGAAGGCAGGTTGGTAGCAATTGTTTTTTCTGCAGTTCTAATTAGAGCAAGGTCCCCTAACTTGCCTAGAACACCGGCTGCGTCACCTAGGCTCCTGCTGCTACTGCCGCTCCCCCCCCCACTTAGTTGAGGCCACGTGGGCAAAGCGAGCCTGGAAAGCTTGCGAAGGCCTTCGCGAGGTCCCCCGAACTTGCCTAGAATGCCGCCCGTGCCACCTAGGGTCCTGCTCCCGCTGCTGCCACCCCTGCCCCCATGCTTAGTTGCAGCCATACGTGCTAAGTGAGCCTGGGGAGCTTGTGAAGGCCTTCGCGAGGGCCCCAGACTTGCCCTAGAACACTGGCCACGCTGCCTAGGCTCCTGCTGCTGCCCCCCGCTTAATTTACTTACTTGATGGAGGCAGCAATAGCAGCAGGGAAGGCAAGAAAGGTGAGGATCTCAGAGGTGAGGCGGGGCAATTGGCGAGCCAGCCAATCAGTTAGTGGTGGGCAGGGCAAACATGGTGCGGATGGGCAGGGCGAGTGAGCGAACAAGCAGCGACCGGGCGGGCAAGGGGAGCCAGCGTTTGGGTACGGTGCCACAGGACGAACGGGTACGCAAATGCACGGTAAATTTGACCAACGCGCATACTTGACTGTACCGGCAGAAACCCACCCCTGCTCTGTAGAACTGAATCAGCAGTTCTTTGGGCAGTTTGAGCTTTCTGAGTTGGCACAGAAAGAACACTCTTTGTTGTGCTTTTTCGATGATGTTTTTGATGAAAAAGGATTAAAAGAAGCCATCTACATTAAGATTGAACAGCCCTGTCTCAACAGAGTGGGGTGGGGGATGGATACCACCTATGTCCTGTTACAAC